AGGGTGGGCCTGTACCACCAAGTGAGCAACAAGACCAGAGGCATCAGCCAGCTGGGCCCCTACAGCTTGGACAAGGACAGCCTCTACGTCAACGGTGACCCACGCTGCTCTCTCTGCCCCCTCTGCTCTCCCCCACCAGCCCTCTCCCAGTGCTGCCCCTTGCCCAGCTGCAGCTCCTGACCCTCTGTCTGTCTCTTTTTCCAGGCTACAACGAACAGCCAGTCCAGCCCAGTGAGTACCTTCTATGAGTGGGCTGGGCAAAGAGGGCAGTAAATGCCTCCTTGATGGTTTCTTTCGGTCAGAGAGTGCTTGGGCTTGAGACCCTGGGGAGAGGCAGGGAGCCTGAAAGTCTTTCTAGCTTTGGCTGGAGAATTCTACACTTGTCCAGCCAGAGCCCTGTCACCCTTACTTTGCTCCCTCCTCACTCCTTATCTCTCTGTTTTGCAGCTCCCACCCACCCACCACCGACAGCTGCTGCCCTCGAGCGTTTCACCGTCAACTTCACCATCACCAACCTCCCCTACAATTCTGACCTGGAGAATCCAGACTCAGCAAGGTTCAAGTCTGCACGAAGAGTGATGAACACCATGGTAAGTGGACCACGGCATGGTCTTGTCCTTGTGTGGGGGGAGTTCCAGGAGCTGGTCATGGCTTAACTGTGAAACCTCTTTGCTTGGCAGCTCGACCGCCTGCTGAAGGACACCAGCATTGGCCCCAATTTCCAGGGATGTGAATCAACGGCTTTCAGGTATTTTCTCACCCTCGAATATTCATTTACAGTTACTAAGGTCACATAAGGGGCTCTGTAATGTTCATGTTCTCCTGAAAGCCAGTCCATGGAGTCAGGACTTTCTGCTTGATGTCCACCATCAGCGTGACCATCTACCTTATACGTTCCTGCTTTACCACTGCAACTCCTTGCCTGCCCTTTCATCTTGGGGAGGTGACAACAGAGCCCCAAGATGACTCTTTGTCCTGCTTGTCCCTTTGCTTCTTGAAAAGGCCCACGGTATTACAGGAGGTCTAGAGCAGTGGCCAGAAAATATGCACCAACTTTGGGATGTCCCAAGTTTTCATTCTTACATAAGAATATCCACAGAAAACTCAGGGCCCAGAACAGAGGGGAGAATGTGTAGAGGACACGGGCTGAGTGTTGTCCCTGTGCTTTGCAGGCCAGGCAGCCAGAGGGACGAGACCCGGGTGGACGCCGTGTGCACCTATAGGAAGGAGCCCTCAGCTGCAGCCTTGGACAGGGTGGGCCTGTACCACCAAGTGAGCAACAAGACCAGAGGCATCAGCCAGCTGGGCCCCTACAGCTTGGACAAGGACAGCCTCTACGTCAACGGTGACAATTTTTTTTGTAATTTCTGTAATTTTCCTGTTTCCCTGTTTACTGTTTTATTTCTTGTCATACTCTTTCACTAAAGAATTCCAATTTTTCTAACTTTTTTGGCTCTTCCAATCAAAAATATCTTTGATAGTTTTTGTTGGATTTACAGGGCACGCTTATACACTGGTTTGTATTTTATTTCCTTCTGTATGAATGGTGGAAGGTTTTGGGTTGGAAGGGACCTTAAGGATAATCTCGTTCCACCCTTTTGCCATGGGCAGGGATGCCTTCCACTAGACCAGGCTGCTCCAACTTGGCCTTGGACATTTCCAGGGATGGGTCAGTCACAGTTTCTCATGGCAACCCATGCCAGAGCCTCATCACCCTCACAGGGAAGATTCCTTCCCAATGTGCAACATAAATTCCTGCTCTTTCTCTTTGAAGCCATTCTCCCTTGTCCTGTCCCTCCATCCCTTCTCCCAGGTCCCTCTCCAGCTCTCTTGGAGCTCCTTTAGGCCCTGGAAGGTGCTCTCAGGTCTCCCTGGAGCCTTCTCTTCTGCTCTCCCAGCCTGGCTCCAGAGCAGAGGGGCTCCAGAGCCCTGGGAGCGTCTCCGTGGCAGGGGGTGGAACAAGATGATCTTTAAGGTCCCTTCCAACCCAAACCATTCTGGGATTCTGTAACTACAGAAGCCATAAAACCTGCAGGGCAACACGAGCAAATGGCACCAAAGCAGAGGAGCTATTGTCACCCACAGCCTTTGAACTTCTGATTGCTTTGCACTCAGTAACTTATCCAACTACATCATATCATAACACACCAGAAAATACAAGGATTGACCTGCCAAGGTCAAGGAACAGCACTAGAACTGAACAGCACTTGACAAAATCCTATAGAAGTTGCCAATGCAGAAGCCAAATGGTTCCCTGCCCATGGCAGGGGGTTTGGAACGAGGTCATCTTTAAGGTTCCTTCCAACCCAGCCCATTCTGGGATTCTAAACTGCTTTTAGGGAATGGGTAAACTCCCTCTCAACGTCCTGAGAAAATGGAATATTCCGTGCAGTGCTAAGAAAAGCAGCAGCTTGCCAACAACACAGAGCAGGATGAATGTGCATTTATGCACAGACTGTCATCAAATCGGTTTTTCGTGTCAAATGTTTACACGGGACCTCTCAGACAAAACCCATTCCAGTTCTGTATTGCAGTGTGTGCCAGACCTTCCAACTTGGAAGCAGGTTTCTCAAATATGTCCCTTTTCTTGTCCCCACAGGTTACAATGAACTGCAGCCTGAGCTATGTAAGTACCTTTAAAGAGCTGTCGAAGTGGCAAGATGATTTTGCTTGTTGGCAACAGCCAAAAGAGCAGGTTGGACCAAGCAACCCAGAGCTCTGCTAGATTTATAAAACAGAGAAATCAGGAGCCTGTTATGGAACACCCTAAAGCCAAATAGAATATCCTATAGTGTTTCCTCTCGGGGTGATGATAATAAATTGGATTTTCAGGCATTGACTTTTCCTTTCTCATTGCAGCTGCTGCTCTAAATACACAACCTCTGCCACCAGCAGTGAGGAACTTCACCTTGAATGTCACTATAACCAACCTGCCATTCACTGCAGATATGGCAACACCAAATTCTAGGAAATTCAAGTCAACAGAAAGAGTCATGTCCTATTATGTAAG